GCTTTGTGACCACCTAGAGGGGTGGGATAGGGAGGGTGGGAGGGAGGGAGACGCAAGAGGGAAGAGATATGGGAACATATGTATATGTATAACTGATTCACTTTGTTATAAAGCAGAAACTAACACACCATTGTAAAACAATTATATTCCAATAAAGATATTTAAAAAAAAAAGAAAGCCTGAGAATTCTCTCTTACAAATTCTAATTCTTGTCTGTTTCACGCAGGTGCGTGCTAGCGCGATCGCCCAAGATGCTGATCAGAATTACGACTATGCGAGCAATAGTGTGGTTCTTCATTTGGAGCCAGGAGACGAAGTCTACATCAAATTAGATGGTGGGAAAGCCCACGGAGGAAACAACAACAAATACAGCACATTTTCTGGATTTATTATCTACGCTGACTGATCATGCAAAAACTAAGCTTATTACTCTGAGTTTGGACACTGGAATCGTATGGCTAACGTCAGTGAATCGAGGACCCCAGGGGATGCCGGATGCGGGGCGCCTCAGCTGTGTGTATGTGGGGAATTCAAATGCTACCTGACTCACATCTGTATACTCAGAAACATTATGTAAAAAAAAATATTAAAAGCAAGATAAGCAGATGTTGATCCACTACCGCCAAAGCAAATATTCCTATTGTTAGTGTCCATGTGAATGAAGTCCTATATAGATCACAAATTTTTATAGAAAAATCTAAGACACTGAATTATTTCCTCAATATATATGATACTTTGGTGTACTGTGATCTTGCTGCTTTTATCCATATGTCAGCTTTGGTTCTTGTGAGTTTACCTGCTTATTATGATACTCGGGGTCCATTCATAGTGTGGGGAAGAATGATTTTTACCCTGCAGGAGGAGGTCTCATTGACATAATGCTGCTTTGTCCCCAAAGAAATTGTCTGCCTTGTACTCCTGTTAACTTTAGAGCTAGACCTGGGAATGATTCAACTTTAAGCCTTAACCTGGAATTTTCTGGATTTGAGGGAATTCCCAAGCCTGTGATCATGTTTCACATTCTTTTTCTTAGGAATCTTCTTTCCTCTCTTCTCGGGTGATAGTCTGTAAAAGTAGAGATTGAACTTGTATCATAGGATTACCCTCTAAGTGTGTAAATGTGTAACTACGTATGGTATTTAGAAAATCCCCCTGTGTCCAGTTTGTCAATAGAATGCATTTAGGTTTACTTGGAAAGTCAGAGAAATTTATTCTTTGGTGTTAAATCAGACTGAGGCTTTTGCCTTCTTTGGAACAAAAGATTATTCGTAACCCAATGCATATAGGTTTAATTTGCACTGGTGCATGCGTCACCAAGGGGACACTAAGTAAGGCCTTCAAATAGTTACTACAAATCATGGCCTGAGGTTATTTCAAAGTGAACAATTTCACATATAACCAATACGACAATAAAGTGTATATATTTTATACAAATACCTGCTACATATATATATGTATGTGTACATATATATATGTTAGATGAAATATATATATGGCTTCAGACCATAGGCACAATGGCTGTATAGCCCCCAAGATTTAATTTAAGGAAATGTACGTGTAGGCACACACACAAACGTGCATAAGTTATTTGACTTATTTTGGATTGAAATATATTTTGGAAGACAAAAATATATGGAATAGCAAAAGAATTTAGATGACTTCTAAGCGTTATCCAGAAAATTACATTTTATTAGGTTAAAATGCCCCAGAAATCATGTGTCTGTAAATTAGGTCTGTGGCTTCTTTATTACCATATGCCAATCAATACTTTCACTGCATTCTGTGGCCGACTGTTACTGTTAGGACTGCAGAGATGAGGTAACCAGCTGTCCTTTGCAGTGTTTATGAAATATATGCATCTGAACGAGCAGTTTTTTCCTTTTTTCTCAGGTGGACTGAAGCTGACAGTAAAGTAGATTTTGAGAGTAGTGCAAATCCTTCCTCTCTGGTTAAAGTACACTGCCAAAAGCCATCTCTTTAAATCTAAGAAAAAGATTTAAAATGCATGTTGATACGTCCTAACTATCAGACAACTTCCACTATTACAATGAAAAATCTGTTCCACTCTCAGGTGCCTTTGAAGACTCTTTGAGAATTAGAGATTGAAAAAACAGAGATTGAAAAATCTGCCTGTTTTACTGGCAAAGGACATTTGCATTTTTTTTCATTTAAAGGAATTAGTTTGTTCTGTTTGGCTCATTCCTCTTGGATACTTTCTGTTCTAATACACAGAAAGCTTGATCATCGTTGATCCACAGAAATATCTTTTATTTAGCCAACCTCAACTTTCCAAAAGAGTTATGCCTGGTGTTCCCATCTGAATGTGCTGTTTGCTTGGGTTAAATGCCTTGGTCTGAGTAACTCTCATGATTTATATGATGAAAAACATGTAAGCCCGTTTATCAAGAATAATGACTAATTCTATTTGGCCTTTCTAATATGTAAGATAACTCATAAAGGACTTGCAGTGGATTTTATTTCCAGTTAACAATATGTATTTATCAAAGAGGAATTAGCAGTAAGGGTTTGGAGATTTTTTTTTAGGTAACAAATCATAGTAAAGGATTCAACCAAAAGATTAGCTTATAAACAGCAGAACACGTCAACTGAGAGTTTTAAAAAGGCTTTATTTACACAAAACATCAGGGCTGGGTGTCTTTTAAAGAGTTGGCTCTAGAATCAGACTGTCACTTCTAATAGATCTGACATTTTCTTCAGATAAGTAAGCGTTATTTTCTCTTTTCAGGCCCAAGGAAAGACAAATAAAAGGTAAAGGAAATAAAGAGAATATATATAAGGCAAACATTTCTTTTTTTTTTTTTTTGCATTCTATATTATTAATTAAATTGTGGCCTTTGTTACTATAAATGTAATGATTCATTAAACTATATTATGTAATATATTTTGACTTTTATGATTGAATTTTTCTAATTGAGTACTATGTTATGTGTTCATGTCCCCTTGTACAAATTTTTCAAAACACAACAAAATTTATAGGAAAACTGGATACCAGAAAGCCACAGGCAGCAAAACTGATTTATTATCAGTATATATAGATAGGTGAACAGCATATAATTAACCTTCCACAATAGTTTTACCATTGTGAATTGGTAATTATATTACAGTATCTTTTGAAAAAAAAGTCTCAAAATTTAACTTCCCTTGCTGCAGAAGCTATTTTGAAGTGCCGTATTATTCATTAAGCATTAATTAAAGAACAGCAGGATAATTAGTAGAATCATCAATATTACAAGAAACATTAGATTGCTCCAGAAAGGGGTAATTTAACTAGAAACACTTTAAATTTTCTCATGCAGTGCTGGTGATAGATTAAGAAAACAAAACAAAAGGAAGCAAAACTCCACTAAGGGGATGTAGACTGTAAATCATTGTTTGATATGGGTACTTTTGTCTTTATTTTGTTAAGGAAAAACAATAGGGCTTAATTAGGCTCAGTAACTCCCTAAAGGTACAGATGTAATAGCCAGTTTCTGAGAAGGCAAAAGTCTTCTAATTCTCATAAAAAGGAAATGCTCTGTCAGTCCAATGTAGCTCTGCTTAATATCTCACAGTGGGTTTGAAATCACTGTCTGTTCCCTGCAAGCTTCATACTCAAGGTATGAATTCAGAACAACCGTCCTATTTGAAAGTTAGCCATTGCTTGGGGGTCTCTATCAGTATCTTACCAAGTGCAGCCTCAGTTATACCTCTAAACAGCATTCTAGGAACAATGTTGGTAAGTATATGAGAATAGCCGTGACCTCCGTATTTCGTCAGCCGATGCTTCGTATGTATGTCATGTGCCATCAGAATTCGATCTTCATAGCCCTCATCCACCAGAAGACGTACCCTGTGAAAAATGTTAACTCATTATATGGCATCGGTCTCACGTTTACAGTTTTCAGGGTGCTTTAAACTTTTTACTCATAAACCTATTCTGTTATCATAAAGATACCGTCTTCCCTTGTGGCACGTGTCCTGGGAGACCCTTAATAAGTATTGTGTGGTGATGATAAAGATATTACCGCATCCTAGTAGGAACATGATCCTTATTCCCTGCACACAGAAATCCCTGGCTTGTGATATTTATGACGATGCCTGGCAATCCTGCATTAAAGACGGCTTCTAATAGGATGTGCCAGTTTGAATAAATGGCCACTTTAGCATTTTATTAAATAACTTTATTCTGGATTTGTACCCAGCTCTCCATTCTAAAATGCCTCGCTTAGTTGACCCATTTTTCAGATTTCATTCTCTCTGTCTCTCCTTTTTCTCCTAGCAAATAAGATCAATGACTGTTTGTGATTAAAATAGGGAACCAAAAGGAATCTTTGTACAAGTAAAACATTCTGAGAGTAAAATCAGTTGGTTTGAAAATGAAGGGCATATGATGAGCTTGATAGTTATTTTTAACTAACTATTATTGAAGTCTAGCTGATTTACAGTGTTGTGTTAATTTCTGCTGTACAGCAAAGTGACTCCATTATACATATATATATTCTTTTTCATATTCTTTTCCATTATGGCTTATCACAGGGTATTGAATATAGTTCCCTGTGCTATACAGTAGGACCTTGTTGTTTATCCATCCTATATATACTAGCTTGTCTCTGCTAATCCCAAACTCCCAATCCATCCCTCCCGCACCCGCCACCCCCTTGGCGACCACAAGTCTGTTCTCTGTGTCTGTGAGTCTGTTTCCGTTTCGTAGATAGGTTCATTTGTGTCATATTTTAGATTGCTAGTCATTTTTAAAACGTCAGTTACGGTCCCTCTGCTCTAGTCCTTTTGAAGCCGATGGGAATTTTGAATTAGTAGTAGTCTGGGAGCATTGGATTAAATTGGCCAATAAAAATTGACTCTTTCTTCCTTCCATTTCATTAAGATTGCTATAAATAATGAGCTGTTCCTTTAAATTTATAGTCAGTTGACTGCAGAATGGCTTCCTGCCTATTGTCTAAACATCTAATCCTCTTGGCTTTGTTAAGTGCTATAATCTGTAATGTGAGTCGGTCACCTCTGACAGCCACCATCTGTATAGGTCTGGACCCTGGGCAGTGTCTGCCGTGACTTCCATGGGTCTCTGATGGCAGGAGATGCAGCTTGGAGACCATGGCTGTTCGCTGGCATTTTCTGTCTTGTCTTGTCGATCCCTAGATTTCCAAATGGATCTAGATGGATGGGCAGCGCCTTCTGCCAAGGACTAATTATTTGAAAGGTACCTTTTTTGTTTCAGTAGCATTTCTCG